ATCACATGAAAAATAAACTAAATGACGTTCAACTAAAGAATGATGACACAATGGTTAGTTTTGATATAAGTAGTCTTTATGCTTATATACCAATCAATATGGCCTTAGAAGCAGTTAAAAAGGAACTAACTGCAGATCCTGAACTCACTCATAGGACAAAGCTGCCCATTGGAGAAATTATTTTAGGAATTCTGTTATGCCTCGCATCTACTATCTTTAAATTCCAAGGCAAAATATATAGACAAACTGAAGGTGTAGTAACGGGGTCACCAATATACCCTATCGTAGCAGATATATTTACGGACAGCTGAGAGAGTATTGCTCTTAATACATTTAACCCTACTCCAAAAATATGGTGGAGATACGTGGAAAACACTTTCACTCACAGTGTCTCTAAATTCTTGACACACATAAACAACTTGATATGATTATGAGCAATAAATTGTGCTCGAAACGTCATCAGTAAATATTAATGTATAACACTGTGAGACTCTATCAAAATAAAATTTACCCATAATGGAACGACACATAAACTTACTAGTGAAGGGGATAAAATTCACATTTGTATCGGAAAATGAACAAGGAGAATTATCTTTGTTAGATTGTGAAATAAAACGAATAGAAGAAGGCAAACTACACACTAGTGTTTATAGAAAACCATCGCATTCTAATAGATATTTAGACTTTAATTCATCTCATCCTTTAACTGTTAAGGCAGGCTTAGTTAAGTGTTTAACAAACCGAGCAATGGCAATAAGTAGCACAAAAAAAGACCTAAATGATGAAATAAAACAGATAGAAGAGGCGTTGGTTTTAAATAACTATCCTATAAAATTCATTAGGAAGATTGAAAAACGCCAAAAGAAAAATAAAAAGAATTGTGAAACTAATAATAATAACATAAATAAGAGAGAATATAAGTCATCGACAGTTATACCATATAAAGAAGGGACATCTGAGACCCTACGTAGGATTCTAAATAAAGCAGGAATTAGGGTGACATTTAAACCTACAAACCCACTCAGGGACAAGCTCTGTAGGTTAAAGGACCCAGTGGACCCAATTAGACAAAATAATATAATTTACAAAATACCCTGCAATGACTGTGAGGTCAACTACATAGGTCAAACTAGTAGGTCAGGAGTAGTCAGATTGTCAGAACATAAGAATTTAGCTAAGGTAAGAATGGTTGACCCAGAGAAGATAAGTAATTTAGAAAAAAGCTCGGCAACTGCAATGCATGCATTAACACACAACCACACAATAGGGTGGGAGAGGGTTAAGACTTTAAGAAGTAATCTATGTAGGTGGAGAGAGAGATTGATTACTGAATCCTGGTTCATTGAGTCTACAACCAACACATGTAACAGATAAGACTCAATGCAAATACCAGAAATATGGAAGATATTATTACCGCCAGTCAAATCAGAAGAGGATAATAAATAATCTCAAAATTCTATCTCAATTCAAGCACACCACAACATTCTAATAAGTTGCTTACTATGACTGTAAAAACGCCCGTCTTATTTCCCATCTGATTGTAATTGATCAATAACACTCATATTATTATTTCTGAATGCAAATTATCCCATATTGGTTTTTATTCTAAGATCTAGTCAATTCCACACGTGTACATAAATGAAAAAGAAATATGTGTGGGTAACTTGCTATGATTATGAGCAATATTTTGTGCTCGAAACGTCATTAGTTAATGTTACTGTTTAACACTGTGTGATTTATCACAATAAAATTTTATCCACAATGGAGTCCTCAGGTAATTGTTTGTATTTTCAGCAAGATGCTTGACTATCAGTAGAAAGAGAGGTTCTCAAACCACTTACTCAATTCCATTACAGAGCAGTGGGTTATCCCAGTTTTTTTAATTCTTTGTCCAGGACACGTTTTCTTGACTTGTTACGTGATAATTTCCCCAGTACTTTGCCAACTGTTTTTGGTATTCGTCTCTCTCCTAATAGTTTTATACCGATTCACTATTGATTTACTGAAATATAGCAGCGGACAGAAAACATAAAACTCACTCGGTGAGTCTGCTTGTCTTCGCTGGCTGCTATTGCTCAGGTTTTAGTTCACGTGGTGTCACCTCTTGTAGCACTGGGGATGAACCGCTGAAATACTGCAATGAAGCATATTTGAACAAAACATTTATACCATACAACCATGCGAAACAAGTCTCTACAATTCTGTAGCTGTCCACTTGTTTCAATATCTTTATGGCTACGCGTTTGCGGACACAAGCAGTTGGGTCTAAACAAAAGGCCGGTAATCGAACAAGTGTTTCAACAGTGAGAAAGAGTTATTCTGTGTTGAATATATCATCAGTGAGAAGCCGTTCGAAAGGTTCTCTATGAGTTCGCATTTTCGCCAAGTTATGTGGGGCGTGATAACAGACAGATGAGTCCGCCCTACTACTCTTGGCTCCAAAGATATCCTCGGGCACGTTTCAGAGCAAACCAATTCTTCGCTGCAAGTGAAGGCGTAAGACTGTGTGATTTATAAAATAAAGTCTTATCCACAGTGGAGTTATACTCTACCACAGTGCTCAAGTTTTATACTTATGTCAGCAAAAAACGCTGGTGTAACTTCAAGACTCAGTGCTTGAAGCCCTATGTTCCGTTCGGAAAGCAAAGGGAGTCCACCAGTGATCGACTGAAAGCAGATAAACTCCTAGGAACATCTTGAAGTACCTGCTCCGCTTCCAGCCCCGAAACCAGCCTGTTTCTGCCACTGAAAACCCTGCCATCACATCGCCAGAACTGTTCAAAGAAATAGTATAAAATGGCCTCTGTTCTAGGCAGTACAATCTTTAAGATCAAATCATGGTAAGACGGATGTAATTTAATACTTACTGCTTATATCCAACCTAAGCATTTTCAAGGACAGTCGGCTTAACATAAGAAAGCCATTTGTTAGTCAGTAGTGAATGCTTAGAGCAGGGAATCCACGGACACATCTATCTCACATATGCCTCGCACTGCGTTAGGACCAACGTTCTTAAGATTTCCCCCAAACCAAGCAAATGATCTGAAGCAAGTGTGCCAATCACCTCAGCTGTAAGCTACTTCCAACAGTCTAATGCCACATTATAGCGTGCAGGGTAGTAGTGGAACTTCGTCAACTCAGTTGAACCACGGCCGTTCCACTATCAACGACCATTTATTTTATACTCGAGGAGTGAAACACACGGTGGACAGTATAATTTTTAAGGAAAAGAGCTCTAAAGCTTCATTGTGGTGTGCTCATATACTTCTACACTCTCTTCAAATCATCGTTGGTAAATACTTCTCTCAGCAGCCGTAGGTGTAATGTTACTCTTTTACTGGTAGTGGTGGTGCTAGGAGCATCCTGGCTACCAGTTATGTGGGCCAGAGTGAAGTGTATGCATGTAGTGTAGCTATAGTTCAGGACTAGCAATATTGGTAGCTATACATCGATCCTGAGCGTTATACCTCATTGAAATCAAATAAAAGCGAGTTGAGAATCATCCAAGCAACCAAACGTATGTGTTTCCCAGAAAGGCAAGAAACAGACTGGTCGTTGAGTCCTATATGAGAGGAAGAATGTAAATACGCAGAATCGGAAGCCCATTATATAGTCACAAGGAGTCTCCAAGTAGTCTATCAGTTGCAGTGGTTGTTCAAACATATGGGAATGAATCAGGTTGTGGCTACAAACATTTGCTAGTTATGTTGGTTAATGTTACCTCTTCACAGCCAGTACATCACGACGAAAACGGTGAACTCTCACTTTTCGAAAATCCTAAGATGTTTCCCTCGGACTTAGCACAAAACAAAGAATCACATCATAAAAGCCTGTAGTAAGAGAAAGCCAAATGTCCTGTGGCAACGATGTAGCAAAGTAGCACTACAAACTCAGACGTATTTTGTCGTTGAGCGGGAGAATACAACAGTAGTGAGAAACACGAGGACGGGCAGATTTCTTTTTATTGGAGTTTACTGCTAACGGAATTCATGGCTTGTGGAGAGGGCCAAACGCCTATGAAATGTAGAACAGTGTAGGTTTAATGACCAACTCTCCCGAAAAACAACCACGTGAACTTTCGACTGACAAGACGTAGGAACCAGTTTACGAGTTAGTTTATTTCGGAAGCACACTGTTGAGCAAGAGGATAGGAGAAATTTAAGCAATCACGCGGAAGACAATTCACCCCTCATTATCGTACGATGGCCAGAGAGAGCCTTACGAATCACTGGGAAGATAGGTTTATCACTTTTTACACGCCTTGTGTTCCTGAATTCCTTAATCGCTAACTCCCACCGAGTGACCGATCCTGATTTTGACATCCACATCATTGATACCTGTAGTTGAGAGGACACTTCTTAGACAAGTGAAAGAAGTGACCTGTTTTGAATTTATTTCGTTAGTAGTGGTCATTGCTAGTTGTTAGGCTGGATTTCACTGTAGACCTTCTAGTTTAGGAAATAGGAAATGCAAATTTTTCTGGTATTTGGGTTGGTTCAATATGTTTCTGTCTGACCACTCTCCGCCGACTGTTACGTGATCCAGTGCACCGAGAACATAAAAATAACAAGTGACGGAGAACAGCCTCGTCCTACTCTTTCTTCACCTCAAAGCCTTCAATGAGTTTATAGACATTTCAGTGATCTGTCTCTTTTGGATACCTCGACCAAACCCTTTGTCTTATTAATCTGAACTTACATTCATTTTCCTCACTCATTTCAATGCAGATACATTAGGCTGAGAAAATAAAATTCAGGGTCACCTCATAACGACAAGAGAATGAAGTTGAATTATTACTTATTACTACTCATTACTTATTTTTACTCAAGCTCGTCACTAAGACATTCAACAGTGAATTTGTTTATCTACACAAACATTTTGAGGTCATTGGACGTTCATTTTAGAAAGAATAACGTATTACTGACAAAAACAGATACAGCCGGTAAGTTTTCCGCTGTAGATGTTTATACACCTGAGTTTATAGTTTCAGTGTCAGTAATGAGCGATATTAAGTGATAAATCCGCTAAAATTTTCGCAGCAAGAGGATGATATGTAAGAATGTGGATGTATAGATATTTAAGCCTACTAATATTTACTACAAAAATTCCCATTAATTAATCTGAGGAAAGCAGCAAGACAACAACCAATGGGCCGTATATTATCAACTGTGTACAGCCGAAATAATGAAAGTTAGCAGTTTCATCACGATTTCCAAATGCTTTATTAATATTTGATTATAATCTAAACGAAACAAGTTATGTTGTTAACACGGGTATCAGCAAGGCACCGAATTAAATAAATCGGAGAAATTCGTCAGAAAGTAGCTAATGAACAAACGAAAATCAAAAAATATGTTGTGAGTCTAGCTCATTTAGTTAAAAACCAGAAGTATGAAACAAACGTTTAATAAGTGATGAACTAGGTAAATAACAGGTAGTGTAATTAGCATTCAGAGTAAATAAAAGATGATATACTCGATTAAGCTAAAATAAATGGAGAGACTTACCGCAACCTCCTTTTGAATATACAACTCATATGACGTTTCGATGGTGATATTCCCTCAGCAGTTCGAAAAAATTCACTACGCTTTTCGTCTAACAGTTTATAGGAATTCGGTGTGTCTGCATGATGTTCTTCGCCAGCCAAATTTCTCATGGTTGTAATGACTACAGATTTACAAGATGTTCGGTGTGTGATCTGAATAATTTGAAAATTGTGCATCTCTTCGATTATGAATTACTTTTGGCCCATTTCTCTCTTTACAGGTTCCCCTGCAATGTATGTTTGATCACTTTTGAAAACATCGAATTCTAGGTCACAACCAACTATTGCAAGTTACGAAAATGCCAGCAAAGTAGCAGACCACATCAAGAAGCAAATACAAATAGTGCCAGAGATAGGAATAATCTGTGGAAGTGGGCTCGGTAACTTGGTTGATGTAATAGAAGATAAAACTGTCATTCGATATGAAGACATACCGGATTTCCCCCGGACAAGCGGTAAGGCGAGAACGAAGCTTCTTCATTCATTTCAGTGGTCGGACATGCGGGCAATCTAGTTTTCGGTAAACTTGGAAATCGTGAAGTGGTTGCCATGCAAGGCAGGTTCCACATGTACGAAGGTTACTCTAGAGAACAAGTAAGATGTGATGTATATTACTCATCTTCCACCGAAGATCGCTCTTCCTATTCGCGTGTTGAAATTTTTGGGAGTCAAAGTGCTTATAGTAAGTAATGCAAGTGGTGGTCTGAACAGAGGTTTCAAATGTGGTGATTTCATGGTGATTAAGGATCATATAAACCTGCCAGGTATGGTCCTGAATAATGTACTCGTAGGACCAAATGAAGAGAAGTATGCTACAATTTATTTTAATATCTATATTAAATAGGTTTGGGCCCAGATTCTTAGCAACCTCAAACGCATACAACCCCGAAATTCGTAAATTGGCCATTCAATTATCTGAGAAAATGAATATTCGTCATTTGGTTCATGAAGGTGTATATGCTTTTTCTTCTGGTCCAACATATGAATCGGCTGCTGAAAGTAAAATGCTTCTCGCACTGGGTGCAGACGTGGCTGGTAAGTCAAAATTATGGTATATGCATACACATGTCTCCTGAAATGGGAATCACAGCCAGTTGATCTGCAACTATCGGTAGGCTGCAGCTTGTATTTCCTATAAAAGCGGTTGTAATGCAGAAACTAAAAGACAAAATTCCTAGGCTAGCCACGCCAAACTGCATCTATCAATGCGATGCTTCTATGGAGCCACTTTTATTGACTGTTGTTCTTCGAACTTAATTTTTCGTGCTTGAAAACACCTATCAATGTAGCTAAATAAAGATGTTGAGACCACCAACAGTTTCACAATAAATTACCTGGTTCAAACAGTCCAGAAAGCTGGCGTTGATGAAGCTTTTTCTATGATATCTCCACGGTCGAATAAATTACCAAAGACTTCTAGATGGCGAATACTGCACACAGTAGAGGGCATTCCAATTCTCTTAAAACAACCGGAGATCTGCATGCAAAAGAGACAGGTCCAGCCACTGTTGTGACTTCTGCCTACCGCCTAACCAATAAATCCACATATTCCGTGTTACTTCTCTTAGTTATTATTAATGCGCATTATCTCCTACTGACGCTTCTGAAATGTTATCTGTTGATACTAATGCTTCAGTGTAATTTAAAAAATAATGGTGTTAGTGACAATGTTTTCTTACTTTCCTGAAGATGAATTCATTGAAAGGCGCATTCTTTGTTCATTAACCAACCTTTTGAAACAGAAACTACATGGCACTGTTGGGTGAACTTCTGAAAAAGGGAAAACAACCTACAGTTTAGTAATGAGACTAGTGGTGATAGGTTTCAGTTCCAAATAGTAGTAAATAATACTCTTTGGAGCAACAGTTATGTGGGTCAGTCTTTTGGACTCTCAGTCATCATCATCTTCGGTTGTTTTCACTTTTAGAAAACAGGTGACAAAACGAGTTCGATCACCAGTAAACTTCACTTCAAAAGATCATGTGCCCCAGATAATTCATCTACGTATACTGTCAGTAAAGAGGTTTACATCAACTTCCTTGACTTGGCAAGTTTCATAATATTACCACTTACTGACTTTCCCCTAGTCTTCTATACTACAGCAAACACTCATATTTCAAAAGGTGGTACTTTTCAGTTTTATCAGAGGTGCTGAATTTGGGAGAGAACTTAAATTTTTTGACGTATATATTCTTAAGATTATTACAGTCAGACAGTGAGTGTAAGTGAAAGATATCTCAAACACATGATGATGATTCGGTTGAAATGACACACATATATTTTGACTTTTGTCACTATCTATTGCCAAAAATATTTAATCTTTTCATTATTGTAGGTATGAGTACAGTGCCAGAAGTGTTAATTGCACGTCATTGTGGAATGACTGTCTTCGCTGTTTCATTGGTTACAAATGTGTGTATTCTCGATGTAGAGAGTAAGGCAATAGCCAATCATGAGGAGGTTGTGGCTACTGCAAAGAAAAGTGCAGAGATTTTACAATTATGGATCAAGGAAATAATAATCAATGTTTCAATTAATAATTAACTGACTAACAAGGACGAAAGTAAATGTTGATGGTTTCACTCATCTTCTGCCCAAATCAATTCATCCCCGCTTACTGCTTGCATGCATTCTGTTTGAATGATTCTCATGTTATTGTATGTGACCTAACATAAAACACAATGACTGTGTTGCTATAGGTGCTGTATCTTGTGGCTATTTCCAACATCTTCACAGTTATGCAAAAGAACACACAAATGAAGTCAACACAATACATAACTTCGCCAATAATTGTTCTTAGATTTGTGTGAATTTCACTTTTGTCCTGTATTGCACATACTATTCTGTAAGTGCACCATATTTTTACTGTAAACTAAAAAGTTTTTAATAAAAGTTTTATGTCGAATACACTTTATTTGAAGTTGATATGCAATGATAACGAGTGTTAATAAACAGAGCGATTAAAACCTCAGAGAAAATGCTCTTTATCGAACGCTAGAATTTAGAACAAATTGCATACTATTGAGTGATAACATCGGGTGCTGTTTGATAGGGCAGCAAATATCTGTCCAAGAAAGCTCTCACTGCTCCCTTTCCCCCCGTTCTCTTCAAAGCACGCTTATAGGAATTGACGAAGCGTTCACCTTGTCCATAGGATTGAGGTTGATGACAAATTGGACGTTTAGGATGAAAATCTCCTCTGTCACTCGGCTTCAAAGTCGAAGATATTTGATTAGACTTGGAGCAACTAAACTTTTCTCGGAAGACTGAAGGATGCTTTTGACGCGAGTGTTGCAGCAGAGGTGTATTTGAAGCATGACTTGCAATGAAGCCGTCTGGTGAGGACGAAACGTTAGAGCATCCTGAATTTAATCGTACCTTCAAGATATGGAGCTTGTCTAACCAGTCAAGACCAAGCAAATTGAAATCAGGGTAGTTTGTGAGATAATATACACCATTGAACTGATGCTCATCAAGCTGAACTTGGCAGTTTGTCTCACCCATGAGTTTAAGCTCATCTCCAGAAGCGTTCTTAGCGACATGCTCTGTCGGCAGAATCTGTCGACACCCAAGTTTGCGCCACGTGGTTCGGGAAATTAAGGTGAAATCTGATGTCGTATCCAACTGAAGACGAATAGGTTTGCTGTTAACAGATAGCGTAATGCATATGCGTTTTCCGGCGAAACCGAATTTGGAAGTTGTGAAAATGGTCTGTACCCGAGAAGATTGTTTCGGCTTGAAACAGCTACGTCCATTCCTCACCGAAGAGTTTTTCTGTGGTGGACAGTAACCCTCTCTATGTCCAAAACGGTGACACTTGTGGCATTTGTGTTTCTTGAAAGAACAAAACTTGAAAAAATGCAATGAACCGCAGTGGCAGCACACTGACGGACATTTGACTGAATTTCGAGACTGATGTGCTGAGTTCTTAATGGTGGTTGGGGGAGCTGTCACTGAGTTAATTGAACTAAATGCAGACGACTGTGGTTTACACACCACCATTGCAGTGTCGTGCTTCAAGTTGATCAATCGTTAGCATTCTGCTGTCACCATTTGTGAAGTCATTTTCGGATCTGCACCCACGCCTGACAGAAGCCAAGTTTTTGTGTTAGCTTCTTCTGGCTTCTCCAAATCACAAATAAAAATCAAACACTTGAAGTGATCTGGTGTCATTTCGTGTGGTTTGAACCTTTCACATTCCTTGTTCACTTTGCCAGCGTAAGTGAAATAATCATCGAAAAGCATTTTTGTCAACTGAAAACACTGATACCGAATATTAAACATGGATGGCTGTTCACCAAAAATTTGTGATGAAACGGTGACTGTCTCATCGAAAGATAACCCACGTAGGTTCTTAGGCAGAATGAAATTAACACATCTATTGTGCTCAACAGTACCAAGCTTTCACAGTAACAATCGAAAGTTGGCAGCGTCAACAAACAAACAGCATTCAGTACGGAAAACGTCTTCATAACGGTTGCACTATGCATCAAATACGAGACTAGATATTAATAGTAGAACTCACTGATGGAATTTGAGATGCTCGCATATTTCTCTGAATGAAATGTTGAATGGATAGCTACTAAGTGAGACTTGCGATTAATTTTAGTTGAGCGCCATCATTTTGGACGTGCTTCTGCTGCAAGATGGATTTGAGATCATCCAGAGAAATAGACGCTGTAAGTGGAATGTAATTAACATATTCATAAATGTGTGAAAGCTCCATTGAACAGAATAAAAACCATAGACGCTAGTTGAACATGACTGCAGTGAAGTGAATGCGAATCCGCATTGAGATAAAATAAACCGTCGCGAATTTGTTCTAACTGCACTGAACACAACATATTGTAATCACAACAACAACAAAAACAACAACTATAAGGAAAACAACACAAGGTATTTGTACATTTTCTTTACAACAATAAAGTCGGTCTCATGGCCGTGAGAGATGATTGATTGCATAATCATTCACAACATGCGTGAGTGATGAATGATTGAACAATCATTCACAATATGTGTGAGAAATGACGATAAGCTGTTTTATGTTGGATATTGTTACATTTCAACTATACAATACGCTGTCAGATTAAAAGCGTTCAAACCGTCCACTGACGCAAACATATGACGTCATTTGTTAACAAACGGATCTACTACCATTACCTGAAACAAGGATGAAGCTACTACCGCTGGGGTGTTGGTAAACAGAATGCAGTATACTGTATACAAAGTAAAATCTTCCTCTGCTTTGCTTTCTAACCGAAGCTGCTTTCCCTCAGGCTACTGTTCTCTAAACTCTCCTTCTCTCTGCATTTTCTTTCTCTTAACATGACTTACCTAGTCTCGGATGAAATCAACTCCGTCAAATACGCTGATGAAATGACTGTCTCGTTTCCAGTTTCCTCCCAATCTGACTGTCCCAAACTAAACAGCTTTTTGTTGGAAATCAGCCTACCTTAAGTTAAGTCCTTCCAAATGTCCGACGACTAACTTCACCCTACGATACAAAAGTGATCTTTGAGAACTGGTTTGTTCAGGCAATGCTTGTATCGCGTATAGGGCAGTGAAACAGAAACTCAGTCAAACGCAAAAAATACCTTGGAATAGTTGTGTCCTGTTACCTTTCTTGGTCAGTCATTTCATTATTATATTTATTTATTACAATTTCCTTTAATTCCTACAGGAACATAGGGCTTCAGCCGTGCGTCTCCATTGCGTTCGGTTCTCTGCTAGAGTTTTCATCTGGCTCCAAGTCTGCCCACATGCTTTCATCTCCTCTTCACATGACCTTCTCCACGTCACCCTTAGACGACCAACTCGCCACTTCCCTTTCGGGTTCCACTCGAGGGCTTGTCTAGTGACGTCACTTGGTGGTTTCCTTAGAGTGTGGCCAATCCACCTCCATTTCCTCCTTCTTATTTGTTGCACAATCGGTTCCTGGTTGGTTTGCTCCCAGAGATCTCTGTTGCTGATATTTTCTGGCCATCTGATCTTGAGCACTGAGTGAAGACAGCTGTTAATCTAGGTCTTTAGTTTGTTTAAGGTGCTTTTTATGAAGCGCCAAGTCTCTGATTCGTATAGTAGCACTGACTTCACATTGAAGTTGGAAATCCCGATCTTATTTTCATGCTGAGTGCTGTTGATCTCCACACAGACTTGAGGGAGATGAAGGCTTGTCTTGATTTTCCAATTCTTGCTTTGATATCGTCGTCAGTTCCGTCTGCCTGTAATTGAAACGATGCTTCCCATGTCGGTAGGAGAAGGAGGTTTCTTCTTCTAGGTCCCTCAAATTTATGCTGATTGTTGTATGTTGTTTTTGTTGCTGTTGGTGTTACTCAGGAATCTTCATCACCTCTGTCTTCTCTATGTTCACCTGAAGGCCTATTTTCTCTGGATGCTTCTTCTGCCAACTTGTTGCTTTTCACTTGCACATCATCTTCCAGTTTGTGGGAAATCAGACATATATCATCGGCGAAGTCCAGATCCTCCAAGTTTTTGTGTGAGTCCATTTAATGCCTGTTTCCTCATTGCCCGCTGTTTGTCGCATTATCCAATCTACTGCAATCAGGAAAATCACTGGCGATAGTAGGCAGCCTTGTCTTACTCTTGTCCTCACTTGGAAGGATTCCGTAAGTTTCCCGTTGTGGATTACTTGGCATGCAGCATTGTCGCACAGCTGTCGGATGAGATGTATAATTGTTGGCGGCACCTATAGTAGCGAAGTAATTGCCAAATCACCTATCGATCGACGCTGTCCAAGGCATTTTCAAAGTCAATGAAGTTGAGATAGAGAGGTGACTGCCATGGGAAGCTCTTTTCAATGACGATACGTAGTGTGGCGATTTGATCAATACATGACTTGTTTCTCATGAATCTAGGCTGTTTCGGTCGAAGATTTTCATCCAGGTTGGCGTGTTTGATTCTCTCCAGTATGATGTGGCTTAGTATTTTGTTTGGAATAGACAGGAGCATAATGCCACTTCGCTTCTTGAGTTGAATTAAGTCTCCTTTCTTTGGTAACTTGCCCTCTTTCCTGACCTTCTCCAGTAGTGGTGTCATCAATTCCGCTGATGTCTCTGGGGCGACTTTCAATGCCTCTGCTAGGATTCCATCTGGTCTGGCTGCTTTTCCAGCTTTTAGCATCTTGATTGCCTTCAGGAATTCTGTTTTCGTCGGGGGTTTGATGTTTACTGGTAGTTCTGCTTCCGTTGTTAGTATTGTTAGGCGCGTTGTAGGTGGCGGTCGATTTAGAAGTCTTTTGAAGTGTTCAGCCCAGTGTTTCCTTCTCTGCACTTCTTTGGTGATTGGCTTTCCATTGTCATCCTTCACTGGTTTAATTTGTGTCGAACTTTTCTCCGATAAAAACCTAGTTGTTTGGTAGAGTGCTGCGAGGTCTCCTCTGCTTGCAGCTTTTCTGCTTCACTTGCCATAGCTTCATAATATTTTCTTTTGTCTTCCCTGACACTTTTCTTTACTCTTTTGTTCAGTGTATTGTAGCTTACATTCAAATGTTGTTTTTGTTGCTCGTCGATGCACTGGATAATTTTTGTTTCACCATCATTTTCTCTTCTATTAGTCTCCAAGTGTCCGTAGTGAGCCACTGTTTGTCCTGTTTATTCCTTCTGCCTAGGACTTCCACACAGGTTTGATTCCACACCTCTTTCAGGTTGTCCCTATGCTTCTCAAGTATTCATTTGTATCTCCGCCTTTTTCCCTTATGCTTGCAGTGAAGATGTCCTTTGTATCCTGGTCCTTCAGTTTTTGAGTATTTAACTTGCCTTGTGGTCTATCTGTAGCTCCTGTTCCTTGAAAGTTTTTAATTTGATTTGGAGTGTTCCTTGTATGGGATAGTGGTCTGAGCCAACGTCTGCTCTTCTTCTTACTTTTGTGTCCAGTAGCC